TAACTTGGAGGCAGGGTGCCATGGACTACTGCAGACTCCAGGTTTTGGGGGCCTTCACATAGCATTACAATAGACAGTAAAAGACAAAAGCTCAACAATCTTATATCTTTGCCTAAAAAAAATCCTAAATCATGTCAGTGCCTAGAGAAGTTTTATACATTTATGTTAGTGAGCTCAATATGTGTAAGTAAGATAAATTTGAATACAGGCACTTGGACACTTTTACAACTTGTCAGGAAAGGAATGTGAAATACTAGAATAATAGAAGAATAATAGAATAATAGTCTTATGTAATAAACAGGGAAGCAGTATAAGAGCAAAAGAATTTTGTCACTGGAATCAGGATGAAATATAAAGAAAAGTGAGCATGTGAGAGCAGTCACCTAGTGACAAAGTTATACAGAGAGTGACAGTGTACTTTCACCCGTGTGCTGTGAAGCTGTCCAAAGGCAGCAGGGCAGGACCTCTCACTAAGCCCCTTGAAACTCCATTGTGCCACCATGAAAAGGGATCATTTACTACCATTTTGCAATGTTATCATTTAAATCAATGGTTCTCAATCTTCCTAATGCCATGACCCTTTAATACAGTTCTCATGTTGTGGTGACCCCTAACCATAAAATTATTTCATCATCACTTCATAACTATAATTTTACTACTGTTATGAATCATATGTAAATTTCTAATATGCAGAATTTCTGTTATGAGTCCTTGGTGAAAGGGTTGGTTGACCACAAATGTGTCACACCTCACAGATTGAGAACTGCTGGTTTAAATGAATAAATATAAAGTAATATACCTATGCTAAAACAGAAGTAATTAATAAAATCATAAAGTAAAATAATAATATTAATGGTTTGTGTATATAACCATGTTTTACAAATTACACAGTCTACCTCATATGTAATAAATACAAATAAGAATAACGGAGAAGAACAGAGTGAGAGTTTGGTTGCAAAACTCCTTTTGAATAAGTTCTGACTGAGTGCTGAGAAAGACTAAGTAGATGGAGTATTTATTCAAGTCAGTGTCTATCTTCATCCACCTGACCCATGGAGCAGGCAGTTACAGTCACAATCGGCAAGTGTTCATAAAGGCAAGGTGCTCTGAAATGGAAGGACATCTATAATGGGTTCAAAATTAGCACAGACCTTTTTGAAATATAGTAATAGGATGCAGAAGAAGCTGTAAATGAGTACAAACTAGAGATCAAAATGCAGAGGCCAGAACAAATTGAGATTCCCAAACTATCTGAAGACAACAGAAAATTAATTTTAGTCATGTTCCACATAGGGAAATTAGCTCTGAAAGATTAGCCATGCTACTTGCACAAGATAGCAGAATGTTGAGGTGGTAAAACTACTCAACTAATTGTAATGATCCCCATCACACCCATATGATCTTTGTGAAACTGTGAAGACAGAATTTGGATAAGGAGCTAACCACCAATTGGAACTTTCATTAATTTGTTCATTCATACTTCAGGACTCTGCCATTTTGCAAATGCCCCCCACTGTGTGAATTCATAGTGATGTGTTTAAGGGGTAAACTGTGAGCAGTGATATAATAAAGTGTGATATTCTGTTGGAATTAAAGACACATGAAAAATTATAATCAAGTGTGATAAGTTTAGTGGGAGACCACACACAGTATTGGACAATAATTGATGGAGTGAAAGTAGCTTTAGCACCAGGGATGAGGAAGGTGACAAAATTGTTTTACTGGAGTTCATTTTTTATGCTAATTCGAGAACGAATCGCCTATTGAACATCTAACCATTTTTAAAGTACCGGAGAAACAAAGGAGAACAATATGAGTCACAGGATGTAAAAAATCGAGTTGTAGCAACCTATATGTAATTGCAAATGACATATTGTCATCAACCATGCTTGCCTGTCTGTGAGGCCATATACCTGAAATGGAGTCATGACGCATTTCAGCACTTATTGGATGATAAACACACAACATAAATGTTGAACTGATATCTAAGCTGGGACGGGTTGCTGACACATTCACACAAAATAAAACAAGGGGTAGTTTCTATGGACAGGAAAGGCAAGTTAGTACTACTCATAAACACATGTACAAATGAATTAATATAAACTTTTAAAGCCCTTCAATAACATCAGATGACCTGTCATGACAAAGGTTGAGACGAATAGAAGGCCTGTGAACTTATTCTGCATTGGAAGAAATGTGAAATCTCTTCAAAAGTGGCAACTAGCAATTATCATTGTAGCCTCTACTACCAACACTCAGTTGGCATTATGTGTTCAGTACTAGGTATCAGGGATAGTACATGTTAAAATGTGAGTTACTTCTACAAGTTGAAAGCCAGAAATAACTTATGTAGCAAGTGAGGCAAAGAAGGCAATATAAAAGAGAAACCATAGAAACAGTTGCAGAAGCCCGGAGGCATCCTGGTAGATGAACAGGAGGCACAGGGCAGAAATCATAGTAGGCAACTGTACGGTTACAAGAAGTTTGTAGTACTGCAGTAATAGGATAAAGTTCAGCTCTTCAACTAGACAGAATTGGACCATTCTTGCAGATTAGTGACTCCACAGAACAATTGGGATGAAGGGTAGGCAACGAGCTCTGCAATGCTAAGAGACGAGAGCAAAGTGAGACTCCATCACAGGAAGTAACAGGAGAAGGAGAGCTGAGTGTGCACACTAGACATTGAATAGCAAGTGGAAATCTTGTCCTTGAAGAAGGGATTGGAATGAGTAGAAATGGAGAGAAAGCCATCATATCACAGAGCCTTGACTTTTTCTCCCTGGAATAGGTTTGATGTCTTCACAGGCCTGATCTATAAGTGAGATTGATTGACTTCCTCATCTGGGAAAGAAAGAATTGTAGAGCTGATCAAGCCGCAGAAATAATTCATTATCCTGCAACTCTATTGTGTAATCGACCATAGCTAGTGAAGCACATTAATGAAGTGCCTCCCAGGAATTGATCATGGTGCTTGGTCAGAGGATGGAAAGACCAATGGAACTAGTGCTTTGCAGATAAGAATTCACATTTCAACAAGCAATGAAGACTTGCTGTTGTTTTCAAGCTATCAAGTACCAGGCTAAGGTCTAGAATAAGAGCTAACTGCGAATGAAAAGCTAGAAGCCCGACTCAAGGGACAAAAGTGTTCAAGAAATGCAGGCCATATTAACAAATTTTTCTTCAAATATATATGTGTATATATATATATATATATATATATATATATATATATATATATATGGAATATATTACATAAGCTGTTGCTGTTCAAATACTTTTCTATATGAGAGTAGTTTATAGAGAATATGTCAAGAAAACTCAAATCATTTTAGAATTTTCCAGGAACATTCTAACATATTCTCTTTAAAAAACATTAATACAGGCATGAAGTTTGACATTTTGAATGAATCACTAATAACACCTCTAGAAACAGAGAATATATACATACATAAAACAATTGTCAGACAAAACAAATTACAATTTTAAATTATACATATGTGTATATACAAATTCACATATGTATATGTGAATGTATATATTCCATATATATATATATATATTCACAAGGGATGTGACTCAGTAAATATAGTATCTGACATGGAAGATCTGAGTTCTGATCCTCAGCACCCATGTAAATAGCCAGGCATAGCTTGTGTTTGTAACCCCAGGAAAAGTGCTTTATGGAAACACGTACACAAACACAAATGAAGGTTTGGTCAACTGTAAAATAATAATAGTAATAATAATAATGCACATGTAGAACATATAAATGGAACTAGATGTCATCAATGTGAGCAAAATAAGCCAGGTTCACACAAGTGACATTTCCTTCATGAAGTCCAGCCATGACATATGATGACAGAGCAGGCTATGCCGGATCCAAAATGTAGGTTATCTACAATCATAGTTGGAAAGGAGAGAATTTTAAACGTGCATTACTGCCACAAGGTGGTGCTATAACAGTAACTGTGACAACTAAGGGAAGGATTCTTCCAGTATATTTCCATGACAAAATCTCATAATTTTACATTATGCTTGTGCCTGCCATTGTAACTTGGAGTTCTAGAGAAATTAAGTATTTTATGTGTACTATCCAAACTGTAACCTCAGAAATATTCTTGTGTGTGATTATCAGGGGCTTTCGTGAGCTATAAATACAAGTCTCTAAATTTGTGGGTTAAAAGTTTTGCTTGAATTTGTCACTCATTAAAACTTTAATTTTCAAAATAAGTTTTTATTTTTAGGTGATCAAATATGGGAGAGTTTTGTTTTGTTCCATTTTCTTTGTTTTGTTTTAGTGTTGAATAGGTAGATCTGGATGTTTTGTTTTGTTTTGTTTTGTTTTGTTTTGTTTTGTTTTGTTTTGTTAGTGTTGAATAGGGAGATCTGGAAGAACGGCTCAGAGGACTAGAACACTTACTACTCCTACAGAGAACACTGGTTCTGCCCCCAGCATCCATGCTATGCACCTCAAAACTGCCTATAACCCCTACTTCCAGTAAATCTAAATCTCTCTGCTGAGATGATCAGGAATCTGCATACACATGGCACATATAAACTCACTCAGATGTCCACACAAACGCCTAAATGTTTTAAATAATAGCACGTCCTTAAGAAAATAAAGGTGTATTTCTTCTCTAATGATTTAAAACATTAGCCTTGTTTTTATTTAGTTCAAATATACTTGGTCCTGTATTTCGATAGTTACATCTGTTTCAAAGTTAACCAAAAGTATAATATACTCACATACACTTGATCACAAAATTACCCTTGCATCACACAATGGGGTCAAATATGAGGGTTTTGCATGAAGTCCCACACCTCCCCGATGAGTGCCAGAGATAAGAGATTTGCACTATGTCCCAGGCTCACACTGGTGAGTGGTTTCCGTCTAAGGACTCGTTTTCCTTCTTTCAAATTTAGCATTTCAATTTTCCTGCTGCATAGCTCGGGTTTGAGACAAAAATACATTATCCCCTTTTGCTGTGATTCCTTTTCAGTAGCGCAGGAACATTCCAGCTGCAGCAGCTTCCCCTGCCAGAATGGTGGCACGTGCATCAGCGGTAGATCCGGCTTCATCTGCGCTTGCCGGCATCCGTTCATGGGAGACACTTGCACCGTGAAGATAGTAGAAGATAATGCAGTAGCACCAGGTACAGCCATCACCTTCTATGCTTCTCAGTGTTGCCCACAAACACAGGCTGGAGATACTCTGAAAGATCATTTGTGTCTTCTTAGCTTATTTTTCATGTTTTCTTCTGTCGATTGGTGGTGTTGCACATTTGCTTTGAGAGTGTAGCACTGCCTACCCTAAGGCTACTCAACAGGAAAGGCTGCTTAATGGCAACTGACACTTGAGTTGGATACTCACATCTCACAGGGAAAGGGGAGAATTAATTCCCAATAGCTGTCCTATGGGACACACACACACACACACACTCACACCCTATTCATAATAATAGGTTTAATGTAGCACTCCAGACTTTTAAATAAGAAAACACACACATCATTTAAAAATATATTATCTTTAGTAGCCACGGAATGTTTCAAATCAGACCTTACCAATTTTCTGTATCTAAGAATACATTTTGGTCCATTTTAAATCTTTCCTAAGTGTATGTGGCATTAATTACATAGCTACTTACCTTTGCCTACTTCTCCTTGGTGAGCTTGGCTTCATTTCATGTCGTTCTCAGCCTCTAGAAATTATCATGGAATCTTGTATCTCCATCCTGGAGGTTTCAGTTCTTGCAGGGAATTACCACATCCCATAATAATTGTTCAGTACTTTGAATTTCTTTATCTCTAGGCAGTGCAATGCAGCATGCAAATGACCTTGCAGGCATTTCTACTAGACGGTTGCCAGATGTCACAATCGACCCTTCTCTAAATGGAGAAACTGAGACTCCAGAAGAGTTGCTGTTTCCACATTTAGCCTACAGTGGAGGCAGACATCCAGACACATGGGCATCGTTCAGTTTGATAGAGAGCTTTATGTTTCTGCTAAGTCTGTGCGACTGAGATAAAATGAGAGCTAAAGCAAGAAAAACAAGATAAAACCCTGAAAAATAATTCCTGTCATGTTTTTTCCTGAACAGATTTTTCCAAAGGATCTTACAGATACGCTCCAATGGTGGCGTTTTTCGTATCTCACACTCACGGAATGACGGAACCTGGTCCTATCCTGTTCAATGATCTAAGTGTCAATTATGGGGCCTCATATAACCCAAGAACTGGCAAGTTCAGAATTCCATACCTTGGAGTGTACATATTCAAGTACACTATTGAGTCATTCAGTGCTCACATCTCGGGGTTTTTTGTGGTGGATGGAGTAGACAAGCTTAGATTTGAATCTGAAAATATTGACAATGAGATACACTGTGACAGAGTTTTGACTGGGGATGCCTTATTTGAATTAAATTATGGACAGGAAGTGTGGTTGCGACTTGTAAAAGGAACAATCCCAGTCAAATATCCCCCTGTGACCACATTCAGTGGGTACTTGTTATACCGCACCTAAGTTTGTGTGAGAGGTAGACTCTCGACACTACTCCATCGTTCTCTGCCTTTTTATGTATCCTTGCATGCACATCAGTGCTACTGTGGTATTTCTACACTAAATGAGATATCTCACTGAAGAGCCTGAGTGTTTATTTCACAAAATGATTTGTCCTGTGCAGAAAGGGATCCTCTCTCCTAAGGAGACACAGAGGCATAGAAACCAAATGCGACCACTACCCCAAGCATTGTGCCTGCCTCCCATGCATGCCACCCTGTGCTCCTTCCCTGTGAGTCTTCCCAGTGTAGATAAAATGTCACAGCAGATTTCCCAAAAGAAACTTAAATTTTGTTATATTCACTGTTTATAACCTTATAAAAAATTTCCTAAAATAACAAACTTAAATAAATAATTCAAAGGAAAAAAATCTCATTTTTTTAATTTTTAATTTTGCTTTACTGTTAAGTTGATCGGTTTTATAAACAAAAATTTGTATTTGTGTTCAAAAATAAGAAAGTTACATTATAAATATAATGTATGCTTAAATATTCTCTTTGTAAAATTGGAAAATGGAGACACAACTGATGCCTATTTGAACATTTTACATCTAATTTTATGTATGTTACTTCTCTGCCTCCATTAGATAGCATGTGCATGAAGACAAGTACAATACTTTTTTATTCATATTCCTCTACTATACTATTGTGGGGAAATTTGGGTTTCCTTTTGTGTATTCTTGGTCTTAATAATAAAGGGATTTAAAGATGGACTCTGAAGGAAGCTCAACTGTCATTTCTTTAAATCTTGAGCAAAAAGTAACAACTATACATTTGGGCAACTGCTGAGAAGAGAAAGACAGAAAAGAAAGAAAAGAAACCATGTTCTTGGGTCTCTCTCTCTCTCTCTGTGCATGCGTGTGCGTGTGCATGTTGTGCAGATCTATACATGAATGGTTTTACACATGTGTAATCATCCATGTGGAGACCCCAGGTTGGTGTTAGAATTTTCCCTTGATCACTTTTCCACCTTATTCTTTGAGGCCAGGCATCTCAATCAAACCAAGAGCTGTAGGCTATAGCCAGTCTGGCCAGCTTGCGTTGGGGCTCCTCTGCTACTGGAATTAAAAACAGGCAGCCACACCCAACCAGCATCCTGTGGATTTTGAGAAGCCAACTCTGATCCTCACTCTTGCCCATCAAACTCTAACTATTGGGCCATCTCCCCAGTCCTCCATGCCTTTTGATCTAGGATTCAAGAAAACCAGTATGTTCTGCAATGAAGGTCCAGAAGTGGATGTGCAGGCATAAATATTTTGCAACCTACTTTTAGTAAAGGCTCAGCTTCTCTTCTAGCCCACCATCCACCAATAATTCTTTGGGGGTAGTTCAGTCCTGTATCAAATACCAAATATGACTCAACAGCTGGAGACCAGTCCTCTCCCACTATCTATGGTGTCATACTGATACTCCTTCATCAAGCATCCGTTCGTGTGTTTGCTATATCAAAACATCCTTTCACCTGTGTCTGCTTCAGGAAATCACTCTTTCATGTGTCTGCTTTAGCAGGACATCCTTTCACCTGTGTGCCCCAGCAAACCGTCATTTGACGTAAGTGACTTTCCAAACTAACTAGAAGTTTCCACTTCATGATGGAAAAAATAGAGGTCTTCAGAGAAAGAGTGGCAAACCCCAAGTTGAATGTGAATCCTTCTTGGATTTTAATCAATATTCAAGAAAGAGAAGATCAGCATTTAGGATACAAGTAAAAGAGGCACAGAACTTCCCTGAGAGTTTTAGGGTCCTCCAGTGAGACCAAACCAGGATTCTCAGCTTTGACACTTGCATTTTCAGAAGAATAGCTAACAGAGTTGGGATTTTTATTAAATATCTTTAGGTATAGATATAATGAAGAGGGTTTTGAGAGGCGGGTACCTCAGCAGAAAGTAAGGTGAGCAGATGAAGAGCATGGGTGTGTGCGTCTCAAAGATATGTAATGCCCATGATTTTTACAATAAGCATCTGTGATGTTTTAGTGGAATTTGTGGGTATGAACTCAGATCTGGGAGGTCCTTTACACAGTGGTCAGCATGTGGCAAGATTACAATTAGTAAGGGTAGAGTCTACCTCACAGGGGTGGTGTAAAGAAGGTCAAGTTTCTTTTGAGAGTCTCACAGAAAGGTCTGGGGAAAGGAATGAGAACTGCATTGGAGAAGGAGCTTTGAGGAAATTTAAGTACATTATCCCTTTAATGAGACAATTATTCCATCCATCTTCTTAGCATGTCTTCCCTGAATCACTTTTCTGACGAATCTCCTAACAAGGTGATTCACAGACAATGTGGAATAATTCTTAAAGAAGGAGACAGCAAGATGTAATATTCTAATCTTTGTAGCATAACAAAATGTTCTGTCTTTATCTAGGGCCAAAGGTAGCACTCAGATTTCATTCTTTTAACTATAAAGATGCATCTTTCCCATAATAGGCCTCAACCAAGCCCAGACACCAACTACCCTTCTATATGATACATTAAATCCTCTGGAGGGAAGGTTGTGATCTTTTCCTTCTTAGTGTTACTGGGGAAGTGGGAGATAGGAACTATAGCAGACTGTGAAGGAGATTCATCCTCATAGACTTCAAGGCTACTAATATTTTTTGAGGTATCTAAAAGTAAAACATGGAGATCCACTCCTATTTCTAAAAAGATAAGTACTAATCTACATGGTGGAATGGATTCTGAGATGCTTACTGTGTTGCTTGTCTTCCAAAGAATATTCATACACAGAGGGTCTCATTGACTACAGTAACACATGTCATGTAGGAAGGTGTCATGTCACTAGCAACGAAGCTAACTATGATTATTTTTAGAATAATATTTTGAGAATAATATCCTATTCATATTTGAAAAAGAATTTCTGAATATATTCTTATGAGTAGTGGTAAAAATGATAAGAAATTTTTTTATTGCTGTCCCTTCTTATGAATTAATTTTGATGGTTATATCTCCATTAATTGTTAATTTATTAAATAAACATTATCACTTTTCTTCCTTATTCTGCCCGTAAGAAATAGAGACACACTAAAACTGAGAGATTTTTCCAGTACAACAAAGATGAACGTCTGGACAGAGGATAAACTATTATTATTTTTTTAATTTCAATAAGTACTAACAAGCTGACCTATAAATATTTCTTCCAACCATAGTCCATTGATGGAGGACCTTAAAAGGCAGCCTGGTTTCTGGTCGAGTACAGACCAGAAACCCCCGGAGACCCCAGGTGATCCGGTGTTCCCAGCCATGGCGCCCACCAACCGAAGCCAGCCACCCACGACCAAGCCAAGCCAAACCTGCACGACAAGCCAAGGACTCTCCTCTTCAGTCGTGGGCCAGTCTAGCCCACAGGCCCCACTTCGTTCTCAGCTCTTCCTCAGCTTCGCCTGAGAACCAGAAGGTCCCCAGCCACCCTACAGGCACGGGGACCACCCCCCCCAGGCTAGCTCCCCCTCACCTCAGACTGTGTTCCCCCACCCCCAGAGCGGTGCCCCCACAGTGACTTCTCATAGCCGGACACCTGCCCAGTGTCTGAGTGGGGTGAATACAGTCAAACTTTCCGCATCTCTGTCTTGCCTCTCCAGCAGTGGCCTTAGCCCCATGCCAGGGCACACACGGGACCCCGACATTAACCCAACACATTGATATAAAACGACTCCGCATACCCTCATAAAATCTTACAACTTTTCAAATGAAAATAGCATTTTCACATAATAGAAGATAAATTGTTTCTTAGCAGGTAAAATGAGCCAATTCAAGACAGATTGGATTATATTAAAGACAAGTTTATTGGGAAGCTGTTCTCAAATGGGTTCACTGATCACAAAGACTAGGGGAAGGGGAATCATCATGGGGAGAGGGGGGAAAAAGAGAAAGAGCATGCATATAGAGAGAGAAGAGAAAGAGAGGAGGAAGGGGAGAAAGAGGGAGAGGGAGAGAAAGAGAGAGATGTCTGGATTATATAGAGCTGAGCCTCTGGGGGAAAAAGCCCAGCCCTGGGCTGGAAAGCTCAGGGTTCTTTGATACAGGGTATGCCAGGTAGGGACTGAGGGATGCTGGAAGAACCTGGAGGCCAGGTCAGCTTTAATATGTAAAAGATACACTTTAGTCCTTTGTCCTGGGGTCTAAAACCAAACCAAACATCTCAGCATTTTGTGGATTACAAATGAATAAGGAGTGACTATTGTCTATGACTACTTCCTGCTGACAGTGGGTTGTCTTTTTGGGGGACTGTGGCCAAAAAGCTGAAATGCTGAGAAGAGCTGGTTGTTTCACTGCTGTCCAGGATCTGTGGGACCCTCTGGTGGCTTGGAAAGTGCAGTCCCAATAGAAGCCTCTGTGAGAGTAGACAGGAGCATCTATGGGTTTGGAGAATTTCTGGACACAGGTTCTGAGGGAACACCTGGATGTTAGGGGCAGAAGATAAGGAGTTTGGGGAGAAAAAAAAATCTTAGATGTACATTTGAAACTCTCAGGCGCAGGGACTTGGGAGTTGGAGGAGGCATAGGGGTTCCAAGGACCAGGAAAATAGATCCCACCCTAGGAGTAGGCAGATGGGGAGAGAAGCAGGCTGTTTGTTAGCTGACAATAATTATCTTGACTCAATTTTGACCAATAAGAGGTGGATTTGAGTGGATTCTTTTTTAGTTTACAAAGATAAACACTTCATAACTTGTATTTACCAACTTCAAAACACCTTCCTAGACCCTCAAACACCTTCCCAGAAGCCTTCATATCCTCAGACCTTACATAAACTTTCCCTATCCAATTATTTACCATGAGATACAGGTGGTTGGTCACTGGGTTCAAACTCCTCAGAGACCTGAGAAGGATATACTGTAATCTAAATGACCTATGTATCAATTAAAATGACAAACTTACCCATTACCCAGTCACCTATCCCACTAAGTTCCTGTGATGTTGATGGCTTCACTGAGGACACTGGTCCCAGGGTAGAATCAATCTTTGGCTGTCAGGCCCAGCAAATCTGAGAGGCCTTCCTGTGTAGGAGGAACATAGGAAACTGACCTTGCTTTGTCTTAAGCAACACCAGGCATGCCCTCTTTCTCCACAGTTCAGGCTGGGCCTGAGCAGCAAGTGAGGCAATGGAGCAGCATTTTTCAGGAATTATCACAACACAGTCCAGGTGGAGTCTTTTCTTGTTATATCTATATCTTCTTGGAGATCTTGGGGGTGTCACTGTTAGGGTTTGGGAGTCTCCATCATTTTAAGCATCTTATGTTTAAGAGTTTAAATGCCATATTCCCCAGGTCTCTG